TCGTACGCAGTTGCTGGACCATCGGGGTACCAGGTGTTGTTATTGGTGGCCATTTCGACACCTGAAATGTGACTGTCGTACAGATTCTAAGAACAAAGGATTAGTTAGGGCTTTGATAAGCATTCAGGAATGTAGTTGAGGCTCTTACCCAGTCGAGTTGATCGGGTATATCAAGCATGTCTTCAATGACCCCTAGGGAGTTGTATGACGGCGTCTGAGCGGGGTTGGGTATTGCGGACTGCAGCTCGCCAATATTGGATGTGGATGTTGAGCTTTGTTGATCAAAGGCTGCTTCACTGGTTGATTTGACTGAGATACCATCTGAGAAACTTGTCAGCACAATATTGCAAGGAGAGAAAGGTCATACTTGCTATCCATGGGCACCGTTGGTTGCTCAGCAGTCGAACTGGAATATTCAAATCCACCTTTCTTCACCCGTTTGAGCATGATGTTCAAAGCATTCACTGCTCGCTGAGTATCTACAGACCGGTGACGGGAGTCCATGAATATGCGATGGGTATTTTCCAGAAGAAGCAAGAAGTCCGCACGTTCTTGAGGCCCGAGGCGTGCGGCATCACCACGATCTGCATCCTGGGACATCTCAAGACAAAGAATCATTGCCGAGAGCAAAAAGGGACTCTGGAGGGAGTTGAGGAAGTATCGCTCTGCGTACAACTGACCACCCGGCATGAACTCGGTCCAGACCTCTGTGTGGTATTGAAGCGCGTCCCGAGCTGCGACCAGGCATACTGATCGCGAGTAAGCAAATTTGGGATTTGTCTCGGCGATATACCGGCGATGTAGGACAAGACGTGCTGTTTGATACAGAAGCTCTAGCGCGAAGCGCCGCATGGTTACTTCTGCTGGGTCTGCGATACACTGCGTCATTGGTCGAATTTGCAAGCAGGAGGGTACCATATCATGTGCGGTCTCTAAACGACGATCGATTTCCATGATATCATCGTAGGATGAGTGCTCTCGAGAGAATGCTAGGTCTGTGATATGGCCAAAGACACTCATGATGTGAGATTTGGTCCTCGTGTATGTGCAATCTGTTCCTTCACTCTGTGGTCTGCCTGGTGGCAATTTAACGGTATTCTCGTCGAAGTCAGTGTCCAACAAGTTAGAGGGCAACTCTGTGTCATATTGCCAGGGCTGGATTGTTCGAGGGACACCAGCTTGAAATGAGGTCAAAATGTCAAGCTGAACGATCAAGGCCCAGAAACGCCGGCGCATTTCCCCATCCAAGGCTGATAACATGGGGTAATGGCGCGGATCACGATGATAACCCATGCGCATAGTCAGGCGAATAGTAATCCCGACCAAATAGGACACTCCAATTTGCATATCCTGGCTCCGGTAGAACTCGGTGAGTGAGTAAAGTAATAGTGCTTCTGCTTTGTATCGCCCTGGGGTGATGTAGTTCGCTCGGATAAGACACTGCGCGGACCTTTTCCGAAATATGGCCCATGACCTGATGGGATCATCCTTAATAGGAGACAACAGCTCTGACCCTCGATGGTATAGAGAGACAGACAAAGCCATAATCGAGTATAAGAGAGAAATCCAAGTAAATGATTTCTCTTCTGGGCGCAGCCAGAACTCCTCGTACTCTTTGTGAAACGTGGGTACATGGATTGACACTGCTGGCTTATCAGTAACCATTGCCTGTACTTTTCCTCAAGAAACTCATACCTCGTGCCGGTTCAGATGTCTTGAGGAATCGAGAGACCAGGCGGTCGGCTATTGACCGTGGAGGGATATCCATAAGCATCTCCTCTTTGCTCACCGGACGGCCATGATCAAGCAGCAGAGCTGGTGACGGGTCATCGTACGGATCAATATCGACGTCCTCGTCGTCGGAAGTTTCTTTATCGTCGTCAAGGTATTCTTTGACACCATTAATCTTCAAAATTGAGAATCCGTCAGCACAATCATCTCAGAACGCAACAATGACCAAGTCAAGACGGACCTCCTCCAGAATAGCGTGCCAATGTGCACTGTCAATATAACTAGTTCCCTCATTTTTGACGACGAGCGTGCCCGTATCGGTAGGAGCCAACGCATCATCACGGTCAGAGATGCCGGGTGAAGGCGTTGCGTAAGCATCCCGATTCTCTGACTGCACCGCATTGAAATCGATCTCAGGACCAGATTTCTGCTTCTGTGCCAGGGACATCACTAGATTCTCTAGATGGTGCAAGCGGTCCTGGACCAGAGTCGGGCTTGCACTCCCATGTTGGGCTTTGCCTCGGGGTCCGCGCCCGACATAGGTACAGGATGTGGCCTCGCCTCGCTTCTTGCAATTAGCACAAGGGTGGCTGCGGCAGCATTTTAATCTATGGTCGATCAGTAGCTGTAGATATGCTAGGTGTGCACGTCGTGCGTTGGGCTTACTTTCGATACCTGCACGCCGTGCATGAAAATTGCACCCGTGTTCGTTTTTTGGGGGCGGATTTCTCTGCCGTGGGGTCCAGAGGCTCATCCATTATTATTTATAGTTATTGTAGTTATCGCAAAATGACGAGAATGCCTAGGAACTAGGAACATTTCAGGTGGAAAAAGAAAAAGAAGTGGACTCCCAGCTCGTGGGGGATCGACACGCCCCACTAACCTGCGAACCTCTGAGAGAGCCTGGTGTACTTTGTTTCTATCAAGAATCCCAATAGACTGCAACCACAGCTTTATATACAGTCATTCCATTTGTATATCTGGCTTATTTCTACAATTCATATTTACTGGATATCAGCCTTCATGGCGACTACTCCTCCGGGTCCAATAATCTGTACCTTTGTTCCCTCGCCCTCCTCAAGCACAATCCGATACTCATCCCCGGCATATAATGGACTCGTTGCCCGGTAAGAAATGCGCTTAGGAACGACCAAGGTAGAATCAGTGACATTCTGGCGAGTGTCACGCCAAAGATCCAGAATGGAGATCAGATTCAATGGACCATGTACTACAATATCCTTGTGTCCTTCTACGTCCCGCGCCCAGGGCAGTGAGTAGTGGATCTTATGAGGGTTGAAAGTCAGGGCAGAGAAGCGGAAGAGCGTCACGGGTGTTTGCACCAGAGTTCGGGTGTAGGTGTTGCCCTCAGTGGAGATGACGGACGAGGTAGGATTTGGGGTCGCAATATGGGATGTTGGGGACGAGAGAGGTGCGGTGGATGGCGTTAATGCAGATGGAACAGGTAGAGCTTTACGGAACACCCAATTGCTATACAAATGTTGCTGTCAGTAAACTTTTGTCTGCGACATTGCATTCTTGAAATGGGAAGCCGGACCGTCGGTCAATGATTGACACGCCGTGCTCGTTGGAGAATTCCTTCTCGATTCCAACAACAATCATGTCCTCGCCAGTCTTTTTCACAACCTTGGACTCCGCGCTAAGCACCCGCGTTGTCTCCTGCACTTGCTGTCCTACCCGTAACAGATTGGGTTTCCCATCCACACGTGGCCACAACACCTCGCCGCCTGCCCACATGCGCCGCGTGAATGGCACGTCGGGATTGTACGATACGTCGGTTCCATCTGGCCCGAGTTCACTTTCCAAGAATGCGGGTGTGAAATACGCGAGGTGGTAGCCCGGCGGCACAGGTACTTCGGATTGCGGGGCGGAAGCGCCATTGGAGAGTGAGGGGGCACCGGGGAAGAGAGTCGGGCGATTTAGTGTAAGGGTGAGAAGCTGGAGCTGGTTTGCATCTATCGTTTGCGTACGGGTTTGTGGCCCCAGTGATTGGAAGCGCGACAAAAAGGCCGAGGCTACCGAGGAAGCATCTGAGCGGAGATCCTGAGAGATGGTGAAACTGCAAATTGCGCCCGGTCGGGTTCGCACCAGTACACGGGGGCGAAGGTGTGTGAGTAATGACAAACTTGAAGACATGATGGTTTAAGGAGAGTAGTAAAAACAAGGGTAGAGAAGAAAAAGAAAAAGGGAAAAAAGAAAGGCAGTGGGGATCTCCAAATGCATGCGGGGAAGCCGATTTGCTTCCAAGTCGGCTTTATACTTCACTTTCCAAGGTTGTAGGTCGGTAGCTGTAATTTGAATCAGGGACTCGGAACTCCGAATATCTAGAAAGCAATGGATGTGGTAACCTTAGTGATGCCTTCGTTTATCTACATTTACGGCCTCAGGCCTCCAATATCCGTAGTACATATGTATACAGGCTGAAATATACCTAGGTACGTAAGTAGAAAACGAGTATTAATCGGCTATTTTATGTATATCAAGACTGCAGTTATACACAAAAGGGCCCCTATCAATACCTAGGTAGGCTACCTAGATCTTGAACAACAAGAGCCAGCACTCCTGGTGATTGAAACAGACAGGGATACTCCGTAGTGCCTCAGGCATCTATACTATCTTATCGGGAGCCAATTAAAGTTTCTGGAAATTTGGATGCCTGCGGGTGCCTTGTCCGTGTCAGCTTTCTGCTGGCCTTTCTTTCACCCCTCTATCTTCTTCTTTTCTTTCTCTATATGAGCATGTCTATCGAGATTCATATTTGATTCATATTCTCGCTGTTTGTCTAGTTCAGGTCCGGGGTTTATTGACGCAAGTGGGGTTCAGCCCAAGATCAGCGTTTGAGGCTCAACGGCCGAACTGCTCATACGATAGTTCTTGGCTGGAGCTGTTTCTTATTACAGAATCCCACGGACCAACTTTCTCTCGCTAGAATCAGATTACTATTGGTTTCAACACTGTCAATTAGAAAACAGACAACTACCTCATTGAGCCATGTCTTTTCTCTCGGCACTCTGCGGGTGCTTCACCCAAAACGAGAAACCCTCGCAGTCCCATTCATCCCCAGAGATGATGACCCAAAGGTCCAACCCCAACGGCATTCAGACAGGACAGTTTACACTCTCCGAAGAAGGCCAATTTATTCGCTCAGCGCCCCCAACCGGGGGCCATGGGCACGGACCCCCGCCCTCTGACTCGGAGGATGGGGGGGCTATTCCAGCGTGGTCCCTCTCCCGCAGTATACAGCCCGTCCAATGAGCCTCCACGAGAAGACTCTAGAAGCCCATATGCGTGATCCACCTATTTCCTCCGAGTCCCAGAACTCCTACCCCCATGACGAAAAGAACGCCAGTCGTTACGACGAAGATCTCACCTCCGATAGTTCATCGGCTATTTCCTTTCCCAGCAGCTACGGCAATACCTCCACCGCAACAAGGGACACTCCACCACCGCCATATTCTCCCCGTCACTCTGCAATGTTGAGTCGGTCACGGTCCATGTCTATCTCGTCCGCTATGGCGGTCATCATTAACCCGCCGCCTGCCGCTCGCATGGACGGCTCACGGACTGGACCTACATACTCTGAGGAGGATGACCGGTCTATTCGTCGTCATCGACGAGTCTCTTGGGAGAGCCGGTGATACAACCTCGTTTAATGATTACGGAAAGAACGTTTGCTTGCTGCCTTTAGCTTATCAGCTGCCTATTTAATATTTTCCCACATTGATCTTTGATCTGGGCAGATCTGGAATCGTCCATCGTGGATTTCTTTTATTTCGTTACATCATTGCTGCGTTGCTATCCTTTCTGCTTCTATTTTTTACATTTTCGTACTGTTTTATTGCATATGACACGACGACATCAATTATGGGTACTGATGGTATGTTTATGACTGGGACTTGGGCAAAAGGGCTTTATTCTGGGATAGCTTTGGATACTTAATATTGACCTGCACATACTCGCCTGCCATGGATGCTGACGAACATTGTATCGAGATCTTCGGTTACTTTGGTCCTCGCTTGCATCCTGGCAGGCATAAATAGTGTAACAATTATGATAAACCGAATGCATTATAGACACTTTGTCGAATCAAATGATCCAGATCTAGCTTTGTTGCTACTAACCCTATACATATATGGTAGGCAACCAACCAACAAAAAGAGGGTATCAACGCAAAAAAACCGAATAAAACAACATCAATCCAACTCAAGAACCCTAGCCCGTTCCTGCTCATGCCTAAGCAAATACCCACAACACGATGCCGGAAACTCCAACAACCTCAGAACCAACGGATCACAACTATCCTCCAAAAACATACAAATAGCCGTACACTCCGACCGAACCCTCATCTCAACCCACCACTCCTCAACATAACACATCAGCCCCAACCACCAAGCCAACAAAACCAACGCCGGCGTCTCCTTCCTAAGCAAACACTCATAAAACGGATTCTCCAACCTCCCCATCCAAGTATTATAAAACTTCGAACTACCCGTGACCCTCTCAAACGGCAACAGACCCATAAGCATCCGCAAAGGCCATAAATACGGATTCTCCTCGATAGTCGTCTCATGTTTAATCCCGCAAAGATCCGCCAAATCCGGATCGAGATCCACGCGTCCGGGACGCTTGTCTTCGTAGTCTAGGGATGGATCCCGCGATTCCATGAAGACAGTCCACCACATGCTCTGCGGGAGCCAGGGGGTTGTGCGTTCTAGGAGGTAGCGGAGACCGGTTTGGAGACGGAGCCAGGTTAGGGATGTTGGGTCTTTTGTGAAGACGAAGGAGGTGCGTGGGTTGAAGGTTTCCTGGTAGAAGGAGTGCATGCTGATCATTAGACAGGTGGAGTAGAGTTTGTCCATGTTTGAATGGGTTATTTCTCGAGAGACTTCTGTTGAGTATTGTTTTATTGTTTGTTGCCAGTGGTAGGCTTCTGCGAGGCGATAGTCTTTGGTTTCTGGGAGGAGGGTGCAAAGGTGTGTTGTTGCTGCTGCTATTATGGCGTGCATGAGGAAGGGGGTCTGTGGTGGTTTGGGGTTAGTTTTGATGTTGCATATTGCATGTTGTATGTTGCATTAACTAGGGAGGTTATAGGGACTGGGTGGGGTTTGTTGAGGTATGGCTATAACAGGTATAGATGAAATATGAATAGGCTTACTTCAAAGGCAAGTTGGACCATTTTACCCAATACGATTCGAACGGGCGTTTGGCTTTCGGTTGCAAAGGCTGGGGCTTTGTGGAAATGATGCAATGCTTCCAGGGTTAATCTCGGCAGTTTGGTGCCGGTGACAGAGGGTGGATGCAGTAATTCGGTCAACTTGTCTGCGACCATCATTAGAGACATTGAAGAAGCTAGAGAATCAATCGAGATCAAGTCAGGGTTGGTGTTGATGAATTGGGACACAATGTTATTGGTTTTTTGAGGTCGGGCTGGCTGGCTTGAGTAGTCACATTCGACGCCATGCTTTTGACATCGCAGACAATGGGGTTTTGCTTCATCGCACTTGATTGATCATTATCAGCTGGTGGCTCATAATGGGGAGCGTCCGAAGTACCTTGACTCTTCGTTGCTTACAGCTCACACAGCCGGCGCGGGATTTCCGATGAGACCGGCGGGAATGATAGACCTGCTCAGACTGTTCGGACCCGCTGTCTAGGGAAGTCTTTGATTTGTAGTTGGGGATTCGGAAGATCATATTCTGTCCCTGCACGTGCCTAGACGAGCGTGGCCGGGTTTGGGGTTTAGACTGCACGTCATCCATTGCTTTTTTTTTCGGTGTATAAATTTGACCGGGGGTTGTTTGTTTGGCGATAGTCTATTAAATCAGATGCAGGCTGAAGATTACACGAATAATCCGACGTGTCAAGGATCGAGATATTGGGTTTCGATATAGCTCTGCGGCTGAAACCCTAGATCGGGCGCAAGGCAATGAATGGAGGCTCAACTGTGTGGAACTGCAGCTTGTTCTAATCAGCCTGATCACTTAGTTCATCCAAACTCGTCCAAACAGGGTGAGATGCCAAGTGGTGACGGAGAGTACGAGGCGAAGGGAAGATCGACTAGAACGCCCGGGCGCTATTCCCGATTAAGGTAATTCTCGTATTCCCAAATTTCCAGTAGAATAACTAGAGAATCAACGAGAAGTTGATCAGTAAACTGAATAAGAGATATCTACTGCCGGGAATGTATAAACAGAAACCTATATCAAGTGTTGGGAATTGGATTCGAGAAACGCCATGCAATTCATCATTCATCGAAGATCGTCCATGCGCATAGCTCATACTTCATACATTGATAATAATTTTTGTGTAGAGAAGTCAGTGGTTAGGTATCTTTGAATACTCATCTTGAGTTTAACCCATCTTGGCATTAGAGAAATCCATCTCTACAAGAGCGCAGGTTAGCAAAACCTATTCAAACGAAAGAATACACTCCCAAGGTCATCTCCAGGGATCGAAGAAGTGACCAGCAAGAGATGACAGAGACAATAACAACTTACCGGGATGCTCAGCCTGGAACTTCTTCAGCAAATCCATCTTCCGCTGCTCGTCACTACTGGGACCACCCATCTCCTTCTGCCGCTGATCATACATCATCTTCTCGACCATGGCGCGAGTCTGGCCGTCCAGATCGCCTAAACTGGAGTTCTCGGGCGTGATCTTGGTGACATCGATTTTGGGAGCAGTGGTCACGACATGAGGCCACCATTCGACCTTGTTCACCTTATCGAGGTGGATATTGATTTCCTTTCCGGGTGGAGTTGGGGTAGTCTCGAGGGTCCAAGAGGATTCATCGACGAGGATAGCGTGGGGGAGATCACCCTGAATAAGAAAACGGGGTAATTAGCAGGCTGCTTTTTGAGTTGATGTGTTGATTTAGAGTATACGGTGTAATTCTCCGGGGGGGGCGTGGGGATGACTGTACAGTCGACACATACCTCGATGAGGGGTTCTTGTCCCTTGATCGCGACACGGATTTTGTTTTTGGTCAACAGCACATCCAAGTCGCGGCCCTTGAGATTACCGGGAATTAGTGCGGTCACATCCACATCACGAATAGTCTGTGTCCACTTGTAAGGGAGCTGAGCCTGTTCGGCATCCTCGCGGGCTTTGCGTTCTTTGTTCTCGCGTTCGCGTTCGGCTAGGTCGGCGGGGGAGGGGTTTTGGTCGAGATCGGCAGACATGACGGCAGATCAGAAATAGAAATGATAGAGTAAGGGGTATTTGAGTAGACTGTGTAATGGTGTAACGGTGTAGATATGCCTGTAGGTAGACTGTAGGTATACTGTAGGTCTACGGAGTAATAATTAGTTGTCTAGGTGAGGGAGCCCACGCAAAGGCCCAAAAAGGAAATATGTGGGGACCTTGCCTTTTTCCTCCGTTGGCGCTTTTGCCGCCAGCCCTAATCGCCTCTACACCGCGATATCTCTACAATGGTCTTGTACTTTGTACTGGGGATGCTTTTTGGGGGAGTTTAACTGCATAATTGGAAATAAAGGTACAATAACAGTTTGCAAACACAAAGTCCACCCTTCCAATATTATTTGTATTCAACATCTCAAGTGGGTGTCTCGGTCATTTGAGCGGGGATCTCGATAGTGCTCTCGAGAATGACATTGTACTCCGGAGCTGAGGATGCATAAGGAATCCATGACTGATAAAGCGCAGTAGCGTATTCCGCTGCCATCACTAACAAAGTCAGACACAGCTACCACCCACACCCACTATCAAATACATACCTGAAAAGCGCACGGCAGAAGGTAATGTCACAATAAACCACAACGGTAAGGTAAAGAAAAAGACTTGTGGTCCCAGTGGGAAGATGGCGTTGATCAACCGATCGTTCAGACGGATATAGTGGCGTAGCCAGCCCAAGTGAAAAGTAATAAACGCAAGCAGTGCTCCTAGAAGCACACCGCTTACAATTACGGTGGCATTGTGAGCGACGACATCGAGTGGTCTAAGACTTGAGTGTCAGGGTATGTCTCCTACCGTTTTGGGACAACCTACAAGGATGATTGGACAATCGGATCGTTAGCGGCCATGACGTGCAGGTGAAAATGAGATAAACTGGAGAGTGATTGGAGTGATTAACAATGCAGTTTGGCGATGCAGTAGTGCAGTAGTGCAATAGTGCAGTTGGTATACAACATAGTAAAACCAATAGAGACCAATAGACCCCAGAGGGTAACTGCCTCCCCCACTTGAGGCTCTCTCTTTCCTTTTTTTTTTTTTCTCTTTCTTCTTACATCCTATGGATCCTATGGAGTGTCTCTGACTAGATGGATATAAGGAAAATGGTATTCTCATGCATGTTGCTTTGTAAACAAAAAGCGAATGACTGAAGCTTCCAGGTATAATGTACTCCCCCCAAAAAAAGACACCCTCTGATCCTATCTCCAATGCTCTTTCTCTCTCATCATATCGTAAAGAGAGGGGGTAAAAAAAAACCACGAAAACGAAAACGAAAAGAAGAAGAAAAAAAGAAGAAGAAAAAAAACACACAAAACACCAGAAGCTGGGTTTCCAATTAAACCCACAGCTTGCATAGACGATTTCAACAATAAAATGTGGCGTAGATCAACGCTGCTCGGTTTGATTATTATTTGACCTTCTTGCTAGCTCATTTTCTATGATAGCTGTCAGTTTCTCTCTTCTGCATATGTCAGAAAAATCAACTCACCTCGAATTTTGTCGATCTGCTTTGCTGTGTCTTGGAGCATCTGATCCCATTTCTTTTGATAATCTTCAACAGTCATAGGTTGGGACTCTGTCTTCTCTTGGGGTTCCTCCTTGGGTGTCTTGATTTTGTCCATGATGAATGTAAAGGGTATAAAAGTCCAAGAATGAAATGGATATTAAATGGATATTAAATGGATATAGTTTCTCAGGGGGTTCAAAAAGGGTTGGAAGTCAGAGGAGTTGATTAAAGTCAAATAGACGTGCGACAGCAAAAGGCTTTATATAAACGACATAACTAAAAGAAATTTAATTTAATTTTTCTAGAAAATAGAACCCCTGTCCCTTATTTCCTTTAAAATAAAAAGATAAAAAGATAAAATCCCAACAAAATCCCTGTCAAATTCATTTTTTATTCTTTTTATTCTTTTTTGATTAATATGTTTGCTTCGGAAATAGACCGGTCACGCGTCTAAAAAGGTCGAGGAACGCGTTCACCGACATCTTCCTTCCTTTCTGGAGCCTAAATCGACAAACGGGACTTCGGACCGCTTAGCCTGGGAATAGCAAATATCTAATGTATCTGATTGGTGAGGATCAATTGTGACGGGTTCTGATGGGTTCAAAGTGTTAACGCTCCTTTTTTTTTTTTTTTTGTTTTTACCCCTTGAGAAAAAAAGGTATCAAACCCTGATAATACAACATATATATGATGTCAGAATATAACGGGACCTAGCGTATGGTACTTATTTTCCCCTACATTTCTGTACTCCATCCCATCATTCCAAATATGCCTTGTTATGGCAGGTCAGGACTAATAGGATGACTTCCAGTCTACCGAAATTATCCCGCACCCAATCGGGGACTATGGAACTACATCCGCGCCAGCCGATCGGATATCTTAGGATACTTTTAAGGGGGTGAAAATGGTTCGATACGTCTCACATGGAAGAATAAGAATCAGGATATTTAAAAAATGAAAATGGAATATAAATGAATTAAAAGAATAAAAATGAATTAAAAAATGGATATAAAGGGAAAAAGGGGCACCGGGGAAGCGGGTAGAACTGGATTGTTCCCAGTGATCGTCCGATCCGCCCGAGTTGATACTTTGCACTGCGATCTATAAACTACCCAAAGACCCGGTATATATATATACTCCACTATCAGGAGTTCTTCTAGTCAATATACAATGTTGTATTTTTTAGGTAGAAACAGGCAACAAAAACACATCCAACACATCCCAGAACATAAAAATAGAAATATATATATATATATATATATATATATATCTGGACGCCTAACATCTCCAGTCCTAGCAGGCTGGCTGAGACCACACAGACCGCTTAAAAACCCTCTCACACTACCGGAGTATGTACCAAGTTGAGCCCAACACTACCGGAAGTGGTTACCCTATTGGTCCAAATAGTCTATTCTATTCACCGCCGATAAAAGAGCCCCCGGGACATGCAGAGCCGTAAACGTTACCATCTTTGACAATCCACGTGGTAAATGCACACACTAGCGCTGTGTCATGGCCGTTGTCTTTGACCGCAACCCTCTATCCATCGACGGGCCGACACGTTCTGAGGCGTTTTGGTACTTTTGGTGCTTTGGGGTCAAGGGCACGTCAGATGATGAAACGGCAGTGGGATGTTCTTCGGGCGCTAGATTCGGGTAATCTGATCGTGGGGATCTCTCATTTGATCGGGGGGCTATGCTTGTTCTTCCCCCACCCAGCTGACGGATGACGATACTTTAATATGCTTAGATCATACTAGTCCGTTATCTGCATGGAGTAAGGATTGTTCCAACGCCCGTAGTACATTATGACTGGCTACGATGGTTTGTTCCGGGCTAGATGTGGCGCTATTGTTTATACAACCTTGGTCCAATGTTAAACTAGTCCAACGGACATACGATCATTGGTGTAAGGCTACAAGGATGAAGAGTTAAATAGTAGAGCAAGTGGTAAGATAATATCTGATTTTTTAGGATATGCCCATTCCTCCAGTCCACCATCAGCCCATCCACATCCACTCAGGCAAAGCAACGAAAAAAAAAAGAACAAACAAATCATAAATTCTGGCACTGGTGCCTGCATCCATTGGCCAGTTATGTCGTCAACGCAGTAAGCCCTTCCCGATGAACTGCCGGGTAAATGGTGTAACCCATACCCCCATCTGCAGCCTCAGTCCGGTTTGAAGAGGGGTCGGGCGGAAGCAAAGAAAGGTGTACACAATGCGCCGATCCATGTCGCTTGGTACAACGCCGAATTAGTACAACATGATATTGATCCCCCTGGGGTAGATTGCTTCGGAAATATTCCATAGTAGATAGATTCCCCTATGACGCCAGGATATAAGATCGCTGAAGAAACTGAAGAAAAAGAAAAAAAAAAAGGATAAAAAAATAATAAAAAAAGCAAACTTGGAAAAATATCTTGATAGCCACGAAAGTCCGAAATGGAGACGGTGAGCGCGCCGGGCTAATGAGACTCCTGGAGGAACCACTCGAGGTCATCAGGCTCGAAGTGCGAGGCGGATGTTTCCGCCGCTGCAATGTCACTTTCGAAAATATCGGCGATCCCGTCATTAAAGGGGACCGTAGTCCCCGAAGGCAGACTACGTCGCTCGACGAGGTCAAAGAACTCGCCTGCAAACTCGGCCAGCTCATTAGCCACTTTGAGCTCTAGGATGGCCTCAAGCGCCTGCATTTCCTTTTTCCATTTGCGATCACGCTGCGCCTTTTCCTCGTGGCGACGGCGGCACAGGCTGTCACGAGGGCGGTCTGTCATGCAATTGGGGCACAGGTAGTTCTCCTCGCAATACGAGCATTTGCATGGTGGGTTGGTATATATGCAGTCCGCGCATACATACACCTTGCAGCCTTTGCATTCTCGCAGGTAGCTGGGACACCTGGGACGTGGGTCTCTGATACCGCCTCTAACATCCCTGATTCCGGTGATAGGATCAGCCGGGGGACAGAAGAAGGATTGGCAGCCCTGCCATCTTGGGGTTTCAAATGTCGGCGAATCAAAGAAGGTGGAGGATGAGGATGAGGGAGGGGAGGAATGGTCAGACGCAGGGGCCGAATATGACCGAGATGGTTGGTTGGAGAAGAAGGAAACAGGAGCCGACTGATCACCAACATGTGATTCGTGTGTATTTTCCTCGTCCATGCTATCTTGTCGTGAATCGTCAATGAAGCTTTTGTTTGTTGAGTCAAGAAGTTGTTGGGTTCTAAATGGTAAGTCGTATTCGGGAAGTTGGCTAGAGATGAGGGATCCCGAAAGATTTGCAGCGAATCGATTTTGAATGGTTTGCTTTTCTGTCTCGAGGTCTCGATAGCCGCAGATCCTTAAACGAAGCCCACGGAGGTCATGCTCAATGCAGAGAGGCTTGGAGCAGCTCTTGCAGTGCACCTTCCACTGCGGTGAATCGTAACATCCTTGGCACAAGTTACGCGGACACGGTGAAACTTCCCGGTTGGGGGGACCCAGCAGCCACTTCATCATCGCCAGATGACCCGTTTCAAGCGAGTAGTCCGGCTTGCTCGGATCTCCATACGCATATTTAGGGAATGTCTTGCTCCATTCACTAACGGTGTACTCTAGGTCCTCCCAACCTTGGCCACGAGGCAAAGGCACGGCTCGTACCTGATCCACTTCACCATTGCGAGGTCCGATACTAATCCCGCCTCCCCGGAGAGGTCAGGCTTGGTGCAGCACCAATGGAAATTGAGGATAGGTGGGTCCATCCCTGTACCCTGGGCTTGATTGGGATCTGCCAGGATATCCACGGGATCCTGCATTGAGCCCGGAGAGTGCGTGGCCCCAGGTGCCCACCAGAAGGCATCCTGGGTTTTTTCAGACGAAGATGGCGTACTTCTGTAAAGATACGGTCGTTCGTGGGCACAGCTCGCACATAGTGTTTTACGACATCCGACACAGTGCATGAGGACGCTGCAATGTTCACATCGTTCTGAGATATCATCGAGGCAGTTGTCACAGCGGATCTTGTCGACAAATTGGGTATGACTCCGGCGCAGATGGGCAGGTGTCATTTTCCCCTCACCCCAGTCGATACCCTCGCCAGTTCCTAATGCCTCCCCATAGAATCCAGTGTCACGATTCTCCCACAGCTTTCCATCGTATACGTGCGACTGGGGGGGTCTCAGAGTCGGTTGGGCCGATCCAATTTTTAGATCTCCAGAGTCGATCAAAGACTACCCAGACTTCCGGTGACGCTGCCCCATGGGGGAATCTCGATTTGACGTAACCGGCTCTGCGAGCGCATCTACCGGCAGGTGTGGTGCACCAAGCGGTATCAGTCCAGATACCCAGCTTGTGGCAGATATTGACAAGTTCATGGGTCGACTCCGCGTCGGCGTCCTTCCGCATCAGTGAAGATGATAAATAAGGGCGTCTTCGATGATGTCGACATCGGTAGGCGTATATACTCTTGAGAGCGAGCCGTTGCATCCCGGGGGCGCTGCCGGTGTTATCCCCCATGTCAATGTCACATTGCAACGCGAACATGGTCAAGAAAGGAACAATATGATATTTCAAAGAGACATTCTTGCAGCCCCTAACAGAGAGATGAACCAGCGTCTCCCGGCGTGAATGCAACACGGTCGAGGTCAGGTTCTCTCCCGAAATGGCTGTGTTATCCAGTTCTAGGCTTTTCAAACACCTACTGAATGGTAGCACCACATTCATCAGGAACATGTCTAGGGCGTACGGTCGGGATTGACGCGCCGAAGCTGTGTCAGGGCCGGTTGGGTCATTGATTTGAGGATTGGGTAGAGTGCTTGAAGGAAATTGTAGGCGAAACGAGAGTGACTTCCATGCGGTCGGGTATGATCGAAGGAACGTACGGAGGTAACTTGAAGTGTGATACAGCTTAATGATTGTATCGGTCGGGATCTGAAGTAAAAGAGACTCGAATATGGGTGCATTTGTTGTTATCACTCGCTCAAAGGTGGACAGGGTTCGTTCTTCTGAGGTAACAGATTGTTGCAAGGCATTTTCCAGCACAGTCAGGTGCGACGCTGGGCCCTCACCAGCGACGTTCCCCCAAGCCATGGTGTCAAGACTGTGATTCGACATCGGTCCTGGGTGGGCAAGAGATGCCAGTCCTTAGATCGAAGATCGAAGTAGCGCGAGGTCGCGAGCTCGGCAAGTAGAGACGCGGCACATGATAAGACAACTTGAAGATGCAATCGAGGGGGCAAGCACACCCTGAGGTAAGCCACCATGCAAGGCCATTAAAGGTAAACAGTCGATAATTGAAAAGATGGGGGTTGCAAGGGCTACGAATTGGGGTATCAGAGGGGGGAGAAAGGGAGGGGTATAAGAATGAGGGGGAAAGACGAATTCCCAAAGAGCGGGAAGAGAAAAGAAAGAGAGAAGTATTACTTATGCCCCCTATCACCCTGAAATAATGAAAGGAAGCAAAAAAAAAAAAAAAAACAGTGGGAGAAGAAATGCAAAAGCTGAGCAAAAAGACAAGGTGATATCCGGATGCGCCCGTGAGGAGAAACCAGCGTCATGTGATGGCCATCAAACCCCCGGATTTTGATGATCTGCGTATGTTGTAGTTCTTGGATTTCATTATGCAAAGGAAAATAAAATGCATTGATCGCTACTCCGTACATCTATTGCAAATGGTTTCTATGCTAGACCATGTGGACTAATGTTTGTCGGTTGCATCACCTACAGTGTAGCCCCTCGCAATACCCTTGCGCCCTTCCTTGACCAGGGTACTATCCTCCGAATCTTCCTCATCATATCGAATATCAAAGTCACTACCCAGACCCTTCCATGTCCGTTGTGATCGCAAGTATTCTGCTCCTGGTGAGACTGCATTGCCGATCATAGCCAAGTCACCCTTAGCTCGTCGCGCCAGTGCCCTAGCAGCAGATGGCCCGCTGGTAGATGATCCATCGACCTGGGAAGCGCGCGGCGCGGGATCCCGCATGGGACGGGAATGTGAGACGTATCGACCGGTGCGAAAGTCAAACTCGGGCGGTGCCGACTCGGGTTCTGACATGTCGTCCTCATCGGACACGGTTGCGCTATTGGATGTTCCCTGGTCATCTCCATTTCCGTTGACCTCCTGAGGTGGTGCGTCAAGGACTGCCTGGAAATCACTCTGCCAAGCTCCTGTCCACACCCGGTCTGAGTCGTCTTTCAAAGCCAGCTCTAATTCGAAAGGAGTGATGACTGGCTTCCAGAAATCCTTGCTATCCACCAAAGAGCTTTCCCAGCAGCCAATGACAACCCAACCACCAATTTCACTGAAATTGGCTACCTTGGCAGCGTTCAATTTACCGACCACGAACATGTAGCTCTTCTTGCCTGCTTCGGCAATCCGCTCCTTGACATGTTCTACAATATGCAGATAGTTCTTGACACTCAAAGTGTTGATGAGAATACCCCAAATAGGCACGGTCGTCAGAGAGGCAAGAGTACCATAACGGCGTCGCAAAACTGCAGCAGTGGAAGCAGGCAATGGCTTGACATTCTCATTGGACAGGTCATTGGTGGGATAAATATGGATCGCGGCAACGCGAGATGCAAGTGTCATCATGAGAGCGGTTGGCGGATCAGAGATGTGAAACAATTGCCAATCGGCCAGCGTCTCAGGCGCCTCTCGAACCGACTGGGGGACTGTGCGATTGGGAATCGAGGAGGAAGGCTCATGGACAACCTCCGTTGCATATATGTTGCTATATCCCTCTTCTACCAGGCGAGTATATACCGTAGGAACGTGGTCTGCGTAGGTAACATCGGCTGCGATGATAACCTTGGTCGTTGGGTCAAGATAAGTCGCCTTGAACGCCCGTACCACAGGCTCAAGAGGCAGATTCTTATGCGTGAACACATGAATCACGGGTAGCCGAGCTGTCGGTGACAGACAGGACCTCCCGTAATGCACAACCACATCTGCGTCCACATGTTCCGCGGCCACTTCGTCGACGCAACAGGTACCGTAAGATGTATCGGCCAAGATAGTCAAGCGAGGCGGGTATTGTTCCGTTTTATCCTCCACCTGAAGCTCATTTATCGAGTGAGCAAGGTCAGCATCGGTCTGGTTCGAGGGCTGCGTGCCATTGGTGCCGACTTCCTCGCGTTCCAGGCCCCGGCTAAGCAATTGAAATACTCGCGGGGCATCAGGAAGCATATCATCTGGGAACTGGAGAGCAATGCGCTTGTACCGCGCTTGCCGGATGTCCTTTAATGTGCGCTCGATATCGTAGGTAATGGAGAGTTCATCGTCTGACACTGGAGCCGCTGGGTCTCGCGAGGCCACTGGAGCAGTTTCTTCGAGAATACGATCATCGGCAGTCGACAGCACAGGGGCTGATTTCATTTCAGATCCCATTTTGTAAGATAGAGGGACAAGTGTGGTGCTAAGCCAAAAACGAGAAATTGCCAAAAGTTTTTGGAGAAAAAAAAGATCCCCCCCACTTCACCCCGCCATGGATAACGGGAAAATACAACAGAGCCCATTGGCAGAACAAACCAACTTCCTGATAATCACATTTTGGTGGAAATAGACTCTACTAATTCATCAGGCACAGGGCTATTTAGTTATGCATTCATCATTTCGACCTAAAAATGGCAAAGGATATCTACAAGTCCGCTCGTGCTGGCTCTCCCGCCCAAACCCTGCGAAGCAATTCGCGGATCGGCGCGCGTTCAATCGGGCGAGGATTCCAGTAAGCATTGGATAGCGCGATATCAGCCGCTTTATCGATGTCTTCTTCCTTCATGCCGAAATCCTTCACGCCGCGCTTGACCTTGAGCTTAGTCAAGAGAACGTTCAAACCGTGGATCGCGTCACCATTGCTATCTGGCAGAGCATCGGCCAACTGCTTCATAGCCTCAGGGATGTTGGGTGCATTGTAGGAGATAGCATGAGGGAGGACAGCGGTATGGGTTTCGGCGTGAGGAAGATTGAAGCTACCGCCAAGTGTGTGGCACAGCTTGTGGTGGATGGACATGCCCACGCTACCTAAACATGTCCCACAGAGCCAGGCACCATACAAGGCTTTGGATCGCGCGGATTGAGAAGATGGGTTCTCGACAATCTCGGGAAGAGAGGATGCAAGTGCCCGGATACCCTCGAGCGCCATCATGTTGATGATCGGGTTAGTATTGCGCGCGTAAATGGCCTCGACTATCCAGAACGAATTAGTTTTTCATATAGGACGGTGATGCAGATTAATCAGGTATATTTACCAGCATGCGCAATTGCGTTGACTCCGCTAGTAGCACTCATAGCCGCCGGCAAGGTCATTGTGAGGTCCACATCGTAAATGACCGTACCGGGCAAGATTTTAGGGTCCGAGCGAGTCTTCTTCAATCCATCGGCAGTCTCGCCCAAGATCGGGGTCATTTCGCTACCAGCATATGTAGTCGGAATACAGATATGCGGCAGTGCAGTGCGAATGCTGATTGCCTTGCCGAGACCAATAGTGCTTCCGCCTCCAATAGAAATAACAGAGTCGGCTCCCTGGGCCTTAGCATACTCAAGAGCCTTGTCTGTAATATTTGTGGGAGTATGCATAGTCGCCTCGCTGAAAATACCGGCGATTTGACCCTTGAGCACCTCCCTAACTCCCTCGGCTTGGCTGACCTGCTGAGGTGTCGAGAGCACCAGCGGGGCCTTCACAAGCAGGCGGGAGACCTCATCCGGAAGCTTTTGCAGCGTGCCGCTACCGAAGACGACACGGCCGGGGTTGGGATTGTACTCGAAGGTATCCATTTTGTGTTTGACTCAGCTGAGGGCGAGACTTGTCATCTTATACATAGTCCATTACCCCACACCCCACCGCATTCGATGAACGTCCTGCCCATCCGTGGGGCCGTGGGGTTTTATCGGCAGTTATGGTTCTCCGAGCCATTGCAAATTGGCGATTTTGTACCTAATGTCCGATTTGGCTTATTATTTGGGTATGTGTGGATGTTTCGATTTATAGTGTGAAGGACCTATAGAAATACCCATCCGTCCACGGGTGGACTCATAGACGGGTATGAATTTCCTCCAAACTGCCGAGTGGGGCTTTTCTATATTATGTAGCTGAGCACTCAAAAGGCCTGAGTTTCAATCCGGGCTCTGTAATAAATTGTACAACATAGTCCATAAATTGGATTAACTTAAGGAAATTCCTGCGGGCCTAGTGATATATAATCCCTCCGGCACATACATCCCACATCCCCAGGTGCCATGGCACCCGAGGTCAGTTACTAGCCGTAGAGCCAACCCCCATAGTAGTACTCCGTATATTGGATCATATTATATATAGTCTATTCAAACGATCCTAGCTCAATGTGCTTTGTGGCACACATGTGCTTGTAACGAATTATTTACGTACAAATCTTCAAGCTCTTGCTCAATTAATCTAAGCGATGGGTGCGTAGAAGCTAAACTTGCCAGTCGGGTCGTACTTCTTTTTCAAGTCCAGCAAGCGCTGTTCGCTGTCGCCATACAGCTGCTTCGTTGTCTCATCTCCGTAAGCATAGTTGACGTATGCGCGGATGTCCTCGCGGCCAGTGGCTTCAAAGAAGATGTTGCGGAGCTGGTTGCCCAGATCAACCGCTTTGGTGGCAACTGTTTCATCGCCGGGCGAGTAGTTAATGAGGGGAGCGGCAAGGATATTCTCGCTGCGGAAAGCGAAAGAACTCGAGCTGCTAGGGATCGCGTGCACGCCTCCGAAGGAGTAACCCTCAAACATGAGGATTGAGTTGTTGTAGGCAGAGGATCCACTGATGGCAGGTGCGTAGGTGTCCCATGCCTTCTTCTGGGCCGCAATGTCGTATGATTGGAGATAGATGGGGAAGCGGGGATTAGCGAATCCGGTAATTTGGCATGGCGGGGAGTCGAGGGCAACGCTGGTCCATGCAGCGAGGTCCTGGTAGGTACCTGCCTGGGGCACAATGGAAAGCGGTCCGAGGTCGTGGAAAGGCTTGGTGTAAATCGAGTCGACGGTCTTCACTCCCTCCTGGATGATATAGAATACGATGACGGGGTTGGTAGCGTCAATATCGGGGTTGTTCATCCAGTACGACCAGTTGATGAGATCTGCGGGCTGGGTGCCATT